CCGGGTCTGGGACTCGAACCACAGTTGACTATATGGGAGTCCAGTGGCATAGTCATTACACTAACTATTGGTCCTGTGATTTCTAACTTTCCTTCTCTCTTGCTAATTTTTCTTCTCTCCAGTGAATGTACACACCCTCAGGCAAAATTATAGAAAAAAAAAATACCAGGGCCAGCTGGTGGTTCAACAGTAAAACATGACAGTCTGCAAGGCAGACCCACATGGGAGGGTTGCTTGTGTCCAGAGACTGCCCTAAGTATATCGGGCACATGAGTTCTCATGATCCAGGATGGCTGGGGGAATCATGGTATCAAGACTGTTGGGGGTGCCGTATCTCTGTCTCTTTCTTTGTCACTCATGGAATAAATAAACTAAAGAAAAGAAAAATAGAAATACCACCAAGTCAAACTTAGGCCTTTCACCAGAGAGGAGGCAACCAACGCAGCAGGAAGCTAAGGTCTATGGAACCAACATGTCCAACGGATGCTCTGAGGGTCTCACTGCCCACAGGAGCCTGGATTCCAGTGGCTTTTGTAGCTGTGAGAATGACCTCATGCTGTGGGGAAAATGGAGATTTATGGCTGACCCAGTGCTGGGGATCTTTGGTCTTGTCAAAAGGGACCATCCCTCTGTTCTAAAGTTTGGGGGGTGGGTGGGGAGGGGCATCTGACATCTCCTGCAGGAAGGTGACTTCGCAGCCCTCATTTCTCATGCCTGTGAAGAGTCAGAATCCTTCCAGGAGGAGTCACTGATCAGGGTCCCTGTGAGAGGGTACCTGGGCCAGTACATGTGCTCCCCCAGCTGTCAGGGCACAGACCACTTACATCAATTAAATGTTTGACTTCATGTTTTTTGAGGTCACTTCCAATTTTGGCTGCTAACAGCACACAAGCTCCAGCGCAGAGCTTCCGGTTCTGTTTGTTTAGCTTTCCCTTGAGGGCGAGCTTCTCGAAGTAGACGAAGGCCATGGCCACTGTGGGCTCCTCGAAGCCACAGTCCTCCTGAGCCAGCTTGCGCATCTCTCGCTTCAGACTAGAAAAAAGACATGAAGGAGGAAACAGACTTGTCAGTGCTGGGGCTTCAGGGGACCCAAAAGAAAGCAGACTATTCCATTTCCAAAGCATTTCTCCTGCTCATTCCCAGAGGGTGCCATGGGAAGGGGATCGGGTCCCCAGGAGCGTTAAAGTCACACTAAGTGTGGGAGCAGATGATTCCACTGCTGGTCAAGTTGTCCAAGGCCCAGAAGACCTTGTGCAGGATGATAGCAGACCATGGGTGTGTAAGTGTGTCAGAGGGTGATGATCAGTCAGGGCTCCAATGAACAAGTCATGCCACACAGAGGACCACACTGAACACCAATGGATATCCCAGAATCCCCCTGGAAGCTAGTAGAGCTGCTCAAACAAAGAGGGACACTATCTGGGGAACTCTGACCATTTCAGGGAGACAATTACAGAAATCAAGTAGGAACTTGGCCTAAGCTCTGCCGAATTTTGGTTATGTTCATTAATGAGGGCAGAAAAGGGGTTAGGCTAACAGCATAACCACCTGTGTCCTTGGGAAAGCTGCCCAGCAAATAGAGAAAGTATGATTCTGGCATAAATGCTGGCACACATTCCAACACTACTGGTGTACATGCACACAGGTATGTGCACACGCACTGAAGCTTCGCTGTCATGGCACAGACACTGCAACTCCAGTCAGCTCCTCCCTGGTCTGGTTTAGCTTGTTGCCTTGACTATTGAGCTGGCACGTGTGGTCCCCACAGTCCACCAGTGAGCTGTGAGGAGAAATAAGGGCCTGGCTTTGGTGACTGCTTAAAGGTAGGGCTTGGCCGTGTCCTGTGGGCAGAGGATTATGAGCAAAGGTAACACCCGTGATGCCAACCCTTTCCGAATTGCCTGTGTGGGAGAAAGCAGACACCTGGACGCTGCTCCCTGACTTTCCATTACATCTCTCTTACTGCACTGTGAGTGGCAGGGTGCAGGAAATGGTTCTCTCCCTGAAGGAACCTCCCCAGATCCATGCTAGTGGGATGTCAAGAGCTCTGCCTCCCTGGCCCACCACCTCACAACCAGAGTTGGCAGCATCAGGCAAGTTTTGTTTTGCTGAATGTGACTGTGGTCTACTTCCCCGGGCCACAGCAAGAACCACTGTACAAAGTATGAGCTTAATGTGCAGGAGGGGGCTGGAAGGGAAAGTTCAAGGCGGATGTCAAGCCTCGCATACCTCCTTATCTTGCTGAGTGTTAACTTAATGTGAGGAAACTTCTCCTTGAAGGTCTCATTCATGTCCTTCTTGAGATCTGAGGGCTTCACGTAGTCAATCACTGTGGTCTGAAATAGATTGGGTAACACAGATTACTCTTTAAAATGAGGGCTGTGTGTACCGATGATGTGCAAGTGACGATCAACTGACAACGTCCAAAACCATCACGTGATGGAAACTCAGACTGGAGCCACAACCAGGGCTCTCCTGAATCCAGGAACCTGAAGTGAGCAATGGCCTTCTGGAGGCAGAAGGAAATCAGGTTAGCAGGAAGAGGTGACATTTAGAAAAACCATCAGAAGTCAGTGACGGAGAGGGAAGGGGTCCGTCTTTGTTTGTGAGTTTGTCTTTTGGGGGCACACAGTGCAGTGTTCATGTAAGGGCATGGGATTGTGCGCAGATCGGGGTCCAGTCCACACTGAGCCATTCACTATACGTCTGACTTGGGGATATTTACTTAATCACCCAAATGGTGAGTCCCACACTACAAAACGAAAGCAGTTGTCGTGCCTACTTCATGCGACGGTTCTGAGAACCATGTGAGAAATTAAGTGCTCTGTACAGTGCCCGGCACACAGCAAGTGCTAGCTTTCAACTTTATTTATGAAATCGTGGTAATATACATAATACGAAATTTACTATTTTCACTTTTTTATTTTTAATTTTTATGCTTTTACCACAGGGCATGTGTGCTTGCCAGAGAGAGACTGACAGACAGAAAGAGGGGGAGGGAAAGTGGGCAATCACCCTCCAGGGGTGATGGCCATGCTGTAATCCCTTCTCCTTCATTCTCCTTGCAGGACCTTGAGCATGCATGCACATGCCCCCTGTGATTTTCAAGCCGCTGGGTCTGGCACTTGAGCTGTTCAGTCTACCACCTTAACCTCCTTGCTGCCTGCTAGCCCCCCATCTTAACTACTTTTAGTTGTATAACTCAATGGCAGTTAAATATCTTTCCATTGTTGTGCAATCACCACCTCCATCTGTTTCCAGAACTTTTTTCTTTTTTTAAAGAATTATTTAATTAATTATTATCATTTAATTTGTCCAGAGACAGAAAGAAAAAGAAAGAGGAAAAGTGAGATAGCAAGCTACCAGATTTGGGACTCGAATCACAGTCAGCCATGTGAGAGTCCAGTTCCTTAACCACCACGCTACCTGCTGGTTTCTGAACTTTCTCATGTTTCCAATTCTATACCCATTAAGCAATAAGTACCCATTCGCTCCCCCCAGCCTCTGGCAACCACCACTCCACTTTCTGTTGCTATGAATTTGCCTCATAAAAATGGACTCGTGTATTCGTCATCTTTGTTGCAGGCTTATTTCGCTTAGCATAAAGTCAGGGTTCATCAGCATTGTGCCATGTGTCCATTTCCAGTTTAGGACTGAGTAACATTCCATAACATATACATAATAGTAACTATTATTTTTTTAAGAGATTTTTGCTATAGGGCGCATGTGCCCTATAGAGAGACAGAGAGACAGACAGACAGCAAGAAATCATCCTTCAAAAAGGATGGCCATACTGCAATCTCCTCTCCTCTCCTCTTGGGATTTTGGGCACGCATGTACATACATACATACATACATACATACACACACACACCCCTGGCATGAGTTTTAAGCCACCAGGTCTGGGACTTGAACTGCAGTCGACTATGCAGGAGTCCAGCAACACAACCGCTATGCCAGCTGCTGGTCCCAGTAGTAGCTATTATTAACAGTCTCTTAAAACTTGAATTTCCTTTTCCTCCCTTCTTGCCATTCTATCCATCCCTAAAGACTGCTCCTTCAAGCCCTAGTGTAGAAGGCTTATGTTCTCCATGCCTCTGTTTCCTTTTCTGGTTTTTCTGGCATCTGCTTTATGTTGACAGCTGCAGCAGGTTGTCTCATGTCCTCATACTCAGCTGGCTGCACATGAAACACAATTGGGACAGCTGACCGGTCACCCCCAGCGTGACAGTCTGCTCCTTGCTAGATCTGGAGGCTGCTTCTCTGCACTAGCCTCGCATGGAACAGACCCTGGTTACAGGATGAACTACCTTGAGTCAGGACCATCCCTCCAGACAGGTTCCAGGGGGGAATGCTAGTCCTGCCAATCGCTCAGCTCCAGGTCCCTCTGAGATACTTTCTGGAATACGGCAGGCCGTGGTTCCTTACATAGTCTTACCTGTCTTAAGGGAGCCTTGAGATGACCTTCAGAGGCTAGATCTCACTGCCACACTAAGAGATTATTGTCCTTTTTACAGTGATGGGGTGAGGTGAGCAGGCAGTGCTGGGAGACTGAGCCGTGGGCTTACAATGTGCCCCCAGCCACTCATTTGTTCTGGCTTGGGACTGAATAAACCAAAATGAAGGCAATGCTTTGTTAGAGCTCACCTACTGGTCGAGTAGATGAGCAATACTGGAGTTTTGCCAGTGCCTGTTGCTATAAATCAAGGTGCTTATTAAACAGGCTGTGGCTCCTTCTTAGTCCAGATAGTGTGAGCGATCACAGTGTTCAATGCTACCTAATTCCAGGCCTTGGGATTCAGCAATGAAGGGCTCCTCCTGGCCCAGAGCTGAGGCTGACAGCAAGGCCAGGTCGCATGATAGATGGGTGGCCCCAGTCTTGTGGTGCCTGCATTTTTGCAGAGGTGGCCATTGTGTTCTTCAGTGAAGAGTTCACTTTCTCCCAGCTGCCTGGCTGCAGAAAGGCTGTGTGTGCACAGCTGCATAAAGGGGGAGGGGGGAGGGGCAGCCGGGAAGAAGAGGTTCTGAGAACCATGTGAGAAATTAAGTGCTCTGTACAGTGCCCGGCACACAGCAAGTGCTAGCTTTCAACTTTATTTATGAAATCGTGGTAATATACATAATACGAAATTTACTATTTTCACTTTTTTATTTTTAATTTTTATGCTTTTACCACAGGGCATGTGTGCTTGCCAGAGAGAGACTGACAGACAGAAAGAGGGGGAGGGAAAGTGGGCAATCACCCTCCAGGGGTGATGGCCATGCTGTAATCCCTTCTCCTTCATTCTCCTTGCAGGACCTTGAGCATGCATGCACATGCCCCCTGTGATTTTCAAGCCGCTGGGTCTGGCACTTGAGCTGTTCAGTCTACCACCTTAACCTCCTTGCTGCCTGCTAGCCCCCCATCTTAACTACTTTTAGTTGTATAACTCAATGGCAGTTAAATATCTTTCCATTGTTGTGCAATCACCACCTCCATCTGTTTCCAGAACTTTTTTCTTTTTTTAAAGAATTATTTAATTAATTATTATCATTTAATTTGTCCAGAGACAGAAAGAAAAAGAAAGAGGAAAAGTGAGATAGCAAGCTACCAGATTTGGGACTCGAATCACAGTCAGCCATGTGAGAGTCCAGTTCCTTAACCACCACGCTACCTGCTGGTTTCTGAACTTTCTCATGTTTCCAATTCTATACCCATTAAGCAATAAGTACCCATTCGCTCCCCCCAGCCTCTGGCAACCACCACTCCACTTTCTGTTGCTATGAATTTGCCTCATAAAAATGGACTCGTGTATTCGTCATCTTTGTTGCAGGCTTATTTCGCTTAGCATAAAGTCAGGGTTCATCAGCATTGTGCCATGTGTCCATTTCCAGTTTAGGACTGAGTAACATTCCATAACATATACATAATAGTAACTATTATTTTTTTAAGAGATTTTTGCTATAGGGCGCATGTGCCCTATAGAGAGACAGAGAGACAGACAGACAGCAAGAAATCATCCTTCAAAAAGGATGGCCATACTGCAATCTCCTCTCCTCTCCTCTTGGGATTTTGGGCACGCATGTACATACATACATACATACATACATACACACACACACCCCTGGCATGAGTTTTAAGCCACCAGGTCTGGGACTTGAACTGCAGTCGACTATGCAGGAGTCCAGCAACACAACCGCTATGCCAGCTGCTGGTCCCAGTAGTAGCTATTATTAACAGTCTCTTAAAACTTGAATTTCCTTTTCCTCCCTTCTTGCCATTCTATCCATCCCTAAAGACTGCTCCTTCAAGCCCTAGTGTAGAAGGCTTATGTTCTCCATGCCTCTGTTTCCTTTTCTGGTTTTTCTGGCATCTGCTTTATGTTGACAGCTGCAGCAGGTTGTCTCATGTCCTCATACTCAGCTGGCTGCACATGAAACACAATTGGGACAGCTGACCGGTCACCCCCAGCGTGACAGTCTGCTCCTTGCTAGATCTGGAGGCTGCTTCTCTGCACTAGCCTCGCATGGAACAGACCCTGGTTACAGGATGAACTACCTTGAGTCAGGACCATCCCTCCAGACAGGTTCCAGGGGGGAATGCTAGTCCTGCCAATCGCTCAGCTCCAGGTCCCTCTGAGATACTTTCTGGAATACGGCAGGCCGTGGTTCCTTACATAGTCTTACCTGTCTTAAGGGAGCCTTGAGATGACCTTCAGAGGCTAGATCTCACTGCCACACTAAGAGATTATTGTCCTTTTTACAGTGATGGGGTGAGGTGAGCAGGCAGTGCTGGGAGACTGAGCCGTGGGCTTACAATGTGCCCCCAGCCACTCATTTGTTCTGGCTTGGGACTGAATAAACCAAAATGAAGGCAATGCTTTGTTAGAGCTCACCTACTGGTCGAGTAGATGAGCAATACTGGAGTTTTGCCAGTGCCTGTTGCTATAAATCAAGGTGCTTATTAAACAGGCTGTGGCTCCTTCTTAGTCCAGATAGTGTGAGCGATCACAGTGTTCAATGCTACCTAATTCCAGGCCTTGGGATTCAGCAATGAAGGGCTCCTCCTGGCCCAGAGCTGAGGCTGACAGCAAGGCCAGGTCGCATGATAGATGGGTGGCCCCAGTCTTGTGGTGCCTGCATTTTTGCAGAGGTGGCCATTGTGTTCTTCAGTGAAGAGTTCACTTTCTCCCAGCTGCCTGGCTGCAGAAAGGCTGTGTGTGCACAGCTGCATAAAGGGGGAGGGGGGAGGGTCAGCCGGGAAGAAGAGACCAGCCAAAACACAGAACATCCAGAGACGCAGTTCAGAAGAGAACTCTGCCTGGACAGGCTGCAGAATCTGGGACAGGCTACAGTC